ATTACAATGGCGCTTAATGAGAAATAGGGCTTGGAAAATTTAGCACACACAAGACATATTGAAGGCAAGAGGGACAGAGGAAAGTAGCGTATAAACTACCTAAAGGGTTTGTGTAAACGATTGGCAGAACAGGGATTAGATATATATAAAATAGACAAACTATACTGAAGGCTTCAAAGGAGAGGAAGTCATGGAGAGTCATGATCGTCCTGAATGAACATGACACATAGAAGAAAAAGAAAATAAAATATAACACATACCAAAAAAAGAAAACACTTAAAGACTCTTATCATTAATCTAGTACATATATTCACATCTCTTTAAATACTTTTAATTTTGTTAAAGGCAAACATTTTGCAAACGGCATTTTTTGTTTTAAAAGATACGCTAATTTAAACAAAAAATTACTTTACTCTTTCTGCTCCGATTATTCTTTCACTAGCGTCTGTTGGACAAGAACAGAACAATGGAAATCTCCCAAAGCATAAATGTCACCACTAAAAAGAAGTTATGAGTCACAGCAGTACGTGGAGGACAAAATGAAGACAAAGCACGAATTTCACAAAGGGAGATTTTAACATTCTTTGGCGCTTAACGTCTTAAGTATACATTTCTCACTACATTCATCAATTGTTTCCTATTCTAATCCATCGAGACTCAATTATAAGCCCGACTAATACTTAATAAAACAGACTCAACTTTAAACCTGACCAATGTTTATCTGTAGAATCAAATATAATCTCAACTAATGTTTATCTATAAACACTGCTATAAACTTGACAAATGTTTATCTACAAACTCAAGTATAAACCTGGCCAATGTATACTCAAGTATAAAGCCGACCAAGTTTTACTTATAAACTCAAATATAAACCCGACAAATGTTTATTTATAGACACAACTATAAACCTGACCAATGTTTATCCATAGACTCAGGTATAAACCCGACCAATGTTTCCCTGTAGACTCAAGTATAAACCCGACTAATGTTTATCTATAGACACAAGTATAAACCTGACCAATGTTTATCCATAGACTCAGGTATAAACCCGACCAATGTTTCCCTGTAGACTCAAGTATAAACCCGACTAATGTTTATCTATAGACACAAGTATAAACCTGACCAATGTTTATCCATAGACTCAGGTATAAACCCAACCAATGTTTCCCTGTAGACTCAAGTATAAACCCGACTAATGTTTATTTATAGACACAACTATAAACCTGACCAATGTTTATCCATAGACTCAGGTATAAACCCAACCAATGTTTCCCTGTAGGCTCAAGTATAAACCCGACTAATGTTTATCTATAGACACAAGTATAAACCTGACCAATGTTTATCCATAGACTCAGGTACCTATTCATTGTTGACTAAGGCACCTGCTAAAGCTGACCAATTTAAATTTCTTTACAACTCAAGTATAAACCCGACTAATGTTTATCTATGCTGTATAAATACAGCTATTCATTGAGGCACCTGACCTAATTACTGTTTATACAGTTTCTAATTACAGGGGGAGAGCATATAATCATTAATTTGCGATAATATAAGAAAAATAAAATATTATTATGGAAAGAGAACAATAAAGAACAGGAATTAAAATGGCAGAAGATAACGATTGCATTGCATTTAAATATTTGAAGATCAAAGTTGACTTGAAAGGAAGAAGCCGAAAGGGAATTCCACAAGGTAGAAGTGAGAGTGAAGAAACTGTTTGCATAGATTTTACGATTATATCTAGTCATCCCAATTGTAAAATGATGAGACCTACCTTCCTATACATTTTTTTTTATTTCCAATTTGCCGCTCGCAATGTTGTAATGTTCTTACTGGTAACCATATCGTCTGTTTTCTTTCAGTTTATATTTAGTCCTTTCTCTTCATTTTTTTCTTTTTCCTTTACTCGTCTACGAGTTTCTTTAGTTTCCTTTCCGTGTCTGCTATTAAAAATGTGTTAGAAATGCATTTTTATATAATATAAATTGATGAGCATTTTTAGAATAAAACAAATTTTAATAATTTACCATGTTTCTAGTATTTTGTCACTATATTTAATCATTTCTTTTTATGCATTGGTTTGACTTAGCTATGATCGTAGCTATGATATTGCGGATTGCATGAACACATTCCAACAATGATGAAATTAACCGTTACATCAAATACAACAAACATTCTTACAATTCATTCTCACTACAGTGTTACTGTCGATTGAAATTTATAAAATCTTTTTATTAAATTAGATCTGAAGTTCACTAAATGTTATACCTCTTTCTACTATTGACAGAAGTTTCTTCTCAAACGTTTTGGTTTTAGTCGTAACACCTTCATCATATCATTATTTTCTCTTTTAGTTACATGTGATATTTGATACTGCTATTGAAAATGCACAAGTTATGTAGTTTTCGTGATTTGCTAAAGATCTTTGCTTGTGATTTTGTAACCCCATTCTATACGGACTTATGAAGGATTGTCTTAAGATTTATTGGATTAAATGGTTTAATAATACACACAATTGGGTATGAAAATCGGTTTATTCAAGTCAGCAGATGAGACTTAATCATTGTAATGAATGAATGAAAGAAGCTGTCAATGGCAGGATGTAGCCGCTCCAATGATTTGTAGACGAACACTGTAGGAGAACGAGAGAACAAATAAGGATTCGTCTATATTTCTTATATGAGGGATTGTAACTGTTTACATTGTTCGGGCAGTTGTCCTCATCTCTACTGTAATATTCACGACGTTTCGGCCGTTGCACGCTCCGGCCTTCTTCAGGTGATATACGTTGAAATTTCGAACTGAACCCTTTATTTCGTTCACTGATGTGGATTGTTCTAATTCCACATACCATGACATTTCTGGATATCTCAGTTTCAGTTATTTCCCTTTAATAACTCAACTCTGCAAATTTTTGTTCACCTCTGCTGTGGCCGGGTATTGAACTCACAACTCTTTCTTGCTTTTTAAATGTTATTCAGCTACAAATACATGCCAATAATGTTCTTATATTAATGAAAATAATTTAATAGATGCCTTAGTATGTGAAGAGACTGACACAGAGACGAAAGTTGTCTACGATTTATTACTGATCTTTACACAGTAATTGTGGCAAAGACGAAAGATGCCTTTCAGAAACTAAGAAGAATATCATCATTAAAGAATATCATTCGAAGCAAAGAAAAGAGTACTGAGCAAATATGCAATATCTAATCTCCCATATGGCAGTGCATGCTTACCAATTTCTTCACAGAGGGAAAAGGGACTTGAAGAGACGGTGGTGTGGTTTCAATGACAAATGTTTAAAATATCATGAACAAAATATACGAGCAACGTGGAAGTTTTAGGTAAAATAGGAAAACGGAAGCTTATAGTGATTTTCCAAGCGTAACTTAGATGTGGCACAAGACCGAAAGTAGGAGGCACCCAGTGAGGATTAGAACTCGCTACTCAGTCGTAATCGTTCTAGCGAGACAAGCTTGCTAACCGTTACACTGCCTCGGGGTGCCCAAGAAAGGCAGAAGCTTATACTTACAATAAAAACAGTTGAAATTTCGGGGATATATAATGAGGAAAGAGTGCCAAGAGAATTTAACACTCACAAGGCATACTAAAGGTAAGAGAAAAAGGAGGGAAACAGAGAGTAACCTAGTTAACAAGTTTATGTGAATGGATAGCAGAACAGGAAAAAAAGGAATTGTAAAAAGTTCAGAATTATTTCGTGCAACAAAAGACAGGAAGTTGTGGAAAGCCCTGATTGCCCATGACCTTAAAGGACTTGGCACATACAGGAAGAAGATTTGAAGGTACATATATTTTTAGCCTAAAAGACAATATTGATTAGAATATTGATTTATGAACTACGAATTATAATACAAAATAATCGAAGTAAATCCACTGGGTATTGAGTGAAAAGACGGACAAAAAATAGTTTCGAAAATAATAGCGAGTGTAGTAGAAGGGAAAAATTGACTGTCCATAACAATGGTGCAAACACTGTTGGCACTCGACTGTCTCAAAAAGAAGTGAAAAAAATCGAATAGAGAGAGATTGAATTAAAGATGGCTGACAGAAAAGACTAGAAAAAGAATAGGCGGTGATTTTTTATTCTTTCTTTGGTGTCAGTCATCACAGTGATCCGCTGACATGACAGTGACCTCTGGGCTTTTATTCGAACAGCCTTACTCGAAGATGCAAACGACGTGATAAAGTCTGGCACAAGGATAATCTTCTAAATGAATTCTATGCCTTGAAAGTTAGAATTCAAAATCTGGTATTTAAAACTGGTCTTGAACACTATCCCAACCACTAGACAAACCTAAAACTATTTTTGTTAATTTTGTTACGCATTAAGCTGTGCTTTTTTAAAAAACCATAAACCTCCAGGATGTAGGTGATCACGACTCTCCACAAAATCCTTTTACTTATTATTTATTTTACATGTCATGTAATTCCAGGATGTAGCTGAATCTTTATTATCTATGATTTATTGATTATTGATTATCTATTTCAAATGCCGTCAGGGCGTTGGCGATCATGTCTCTCCACAAATTCCTTTTCTTTATGACCTGTGAATTGCCATACGTTCTTGAGAAAGATAGAGTTGCTTTCCGTTGACTTCTCCACAGTTTGGAATTCAGTGTTTCCTTTCTCTTAAACAAGTTAGCATTCAAGGCTAGAGAACTCAGTCTACACTGCTATTTAACCATAGCTGGGGGGGAGGGAAATTGAACGCTACAGACTAGCCCGAAATTTGAACACGGCTCGGTGATTCTATTTCCATTGCCCATATCCATTGCACTAGATTCGCATCGTAAGCTTAGCTTTTTATATGTGTAAATTAAAAATTCACGTCTTACCGGAAGTCTCTCTTTTACTCACACGCCTCCTCGATTTCTCTTTCTAACTTCTCTATCTTTCTCCTTTTCTCTCTATAGTTGGGCTTCTCGATAATTATTATCCACCCCTTTTATATTCTGTCTTTTAGCATTCTCTCTTAGTCGCTTCGCTTTAGTCTCTCTCTCTCTCTCTCTCTCTCTCTCTCTCTCTCTCTCTCTCTCTCTCTCTCTCTCTCTCTCTCTCTCTCTCTCAAAATGTAGTCGCTTGCGCAGTTCACGGTGAATTTCCTTTCCTAACCATTCATACATCTTTTTGTATTCTTTCTAATCTAATTGGTAAAATTGTTATTAATATATACGTAAGTACATCAATAAGTTTAATTAGCTTAATGATTAGAAAATGCATTTATTTCTCATGAACATATTTCAAACATTTTTCAGAATAATCTCTTTTCATTTCAATGCAAAGAGATTCTTGTGGTAATTTACATAGATCAAACATACAGTGAAATTTCTAGATCAAAATTCAAGCGATATCAGTACCTCATGGCGGATTAATGGTTAATAAGCTACTTTGAGTATTATTCCGAAGTAGTGAGTTAGCTTATCACTAAGTGTTCAAATGTGTGATTTTGTACTACACTAAGCTAGGCTTAATACATGACAAAATGGTGTCTACAATGTGGAATAATTGTTAGCAAGATAGTCTAGTTGAGTAGGAAGTTCGATTCTCACTGATTGTCCTAAACATGTAGTTTAGTATCACATTAAGGTAAGGTTAGTAAAGGACCACCTGGTGAGTTCAGGTTGAGGTAATGGTTAGAAATCTAGCCTAGTTGAGCATTACTATTGATTTCGATATTCACTGGGTTCCCTGGAAATGTGGCCTTGTGCCCAAACTAAGCTATGCTTAGTAAATAGGTTTCTCAAATGACAAACAATAATCCATCCTCGTATATATATATATATATATATATATATATATATATATATATATATGGTCACTCGTACTCAAGAATACGCGTCTACTAGGGCGGCTAGTCAATCCCTATTGTAGAGGCTTGCTCAGGCGCATTTGTGTTTATTCAACACCCACAGAGCCCACCTGTGGTTTATACTACAACTATGCTGAGCAAACCAGTTTCTGGGAAAGAGCGTGTTATATAACGTGATCAATAATTTGAACAAGGCCAGCACGCTCAAGCCCTCGGCCACGATGACTTGTGACTCCGTGTTATATATATATATATATATATGTGTGTGTGTGTGCGCGCGCGCATTGGGCAAACGAACGATGCCTTCCAAACGGTATGCAAAGTATAAAGAAACAAAGAGCTCTAAACTGCTATGTAATATCCGTCCTCCTATATAGCATTGAATGCTGGGCTATCTCATCACTAACCAAATGTGTGTGTGTGTGTGTGTGTGTGTGTGTGTGTGTGTGTGTGTGTGTGTGTATATATATATATATATACACACGTATCTGTGTGTATCGGTCTCCGCGTTTCTCCCTCAAAGTCAGAGAGCGAATAATTAGCGAACGTATTTTCCCCTCTTTTCCTTTGTATTCTGTTAAACCCTTCATTACCGGAGTGACATTATTTAATCCTTTGTCACTCACGACTCAGCGCGTCTTGGCGATAAATGTCACTCCAGATTTTACTTCTGACATTTGATTCTCCATCCCGTTAATTCCCAGGGCAATAAGTAATTATTATGATTTACATCTTTATATCACAGATTTATAGTGGCCACTGATAGAGACCAAAACGCAAAAAAGTTTCCTTAGCTCTTGAACAATGTTCTCTTTCTCACCGAAAGTTAATTCTTCCATAGATCAATGGTTAGCGAGTGAGTCCAGCAAATACCTAACTCCTCATGCTGTCCCCTACCTTTACAAGAGCCAGATCAGGCCGAGAATTGAGTACTGCTGTCATATTTGGGTGGGAGCTGCCCAGCCCTCATTTTCTAGTCTCAATAGAGTTCAAAAGCGTCTCCAAGTCCTTGTCGGTGACAAATTATTTTCCACCCTTTCTCTTACAGGCGGGATGTGGCAAGCCTCTAATTGCTTTCACGGAAAGTCCTCAGACGAACTACATTCCTTCGTTCCACCAACCCTAATCTTCACGGCTAGGACCCGCCATGCCACTTACATTGTAGCAAACCACCCACATTCCCTCCGTATTCCATCGATGAGAAATAAATTTCACTCAAACAGCTTCTTTCTGGGAACCACTGCCCTGTGGAAGCGACTCCCAAAAGGATGTTTCCCTGATCACTATAATGTTTAAGTCTTGTGTTAACCATTATCTTTCCCTATTATCCGTATAAACTGCCTCTTAATGTTCTCCTCTGCCTCGTGTGGCCCCCGGGCCTTGTACAGAGCAAACCTCGTGATATAATGGAATATGCATACACCTGTGTTCTCCTCACTGGAATATGATTGGCTGGTGTCCGTCATAAATACCGATGGACGTGTAGGAAAGTCAAGAGCCTTAGTCTGAGATCTAAGTCTATAACCACGCCCATTGGACTACGCCATTGATCTACACTTCTTACCTGCGACTACGACGCGTACAAGTCGATTACTGCTACCGTATTCTACTTGGTTATAGTAGCCAAAACCTCTTAGCTACTTCGTTCAAATATATCCCTTTCCGGGACATATCACCTCGCTATAAGAAAAAATCAACTGTAAGGATTTCCGTTCCTGCTGAGATGATTCATATGTGTGGATTTTCTCAGACTAAGTTCTGTTTAGTAAAACTAGTCTTGCAAAATATACAATTGTAGTAATTCTTGAAAATGCTGTCATCGGATCTTATCTGCGCCCCGGATTCTTCCCAATATCTCCTTTCTTGAAAGAATTACTACTCTCCCAAGCCAAGATACATGACCACAAAATACAAAAAATATTAAAAGAGAACGATTAAATCCATAACCTCATGTTATTCAAAATATATAATGCATATATCAATTCCAATCCAAAATAATTTAAATTCTAATTTCCATATATAACATCTAAAAAGAAATCTCCTACTCACTTCCATTTACTAGGCATTGAACTGCATCATTTCACGTTCAAGAACATGCCTGACTTTTTCATTAACCTGATGAATATTCATGACACTGCTATACCAAAACATCTATAAAAAATATATATATATATGTATATATAAATAAAAAGAACAGAAACAATAATTTTTTTAAAAATCCTGACGACAGGCATTCAACGGATGTCAGATTTCATTGAAAAATACATCCCTACCCCCCTACCAAAACGTAACTAATAACGGATACAATAATACAGACATAATGAACACGCAGACACCCCTTGTCCAGTTGAATTAGATGTAATCTGTAACCTTGGAAACGTGAATTATGATTTTAGCTGTGTCTTTAAAATTCAGTAATTTTAAAAGTTACTCCAAAATTCGCTTGAGGATGAAATGGAACTAATGTCTTTAATTTAATTACAAAATTAAATTCGTAGCTTTTAGCTTCCATTTTTGAAACATGGTTAGAACTGTGTAGCGAAAAAAAAACATATTTTAAATAAATCAATTTATAATAAATATATATATATATATATATATATATATATATATATATATATATATATATATATACAGATTTGGTTAGTGATGAGATAGCCCGACATTCACTGCTATATAGGAGGACGGATATTACATAACTGTTCAGAACTCTTTGTTTCCTTATACTTTGCATACCGTTTGGAAGGCATCATTCGTTAGCCCAATGCGCGTTCGAAGTTAGGCGTCGCACTTTCGTTCTCTGTTAAAACACTTTCTCCTCCTCTCTCTCTCTCTCTCTCTCTCTCTCTCTCTCTCTCTCTCTCTCTCTCTCCACACACACACACATATATATATATATATATATATATATATATATATATATATATAAACCAATAATTTTTCTGCTCTTGTATATCAATATATGTCTCAAAAATCTTTACATTTACCTTGATAAGTCCCTCAGAGATCGAAACGGTTCGGCTAAGATAAGTTTTCCTTTTGTCTTTATTCATATTGTCCTTTTACAGTTCGACTCTACTTGAAATTTTTCAAATCGTAGTAATGCTGATTCTCCCATTTCTTGCATTTTGCAATACTAAGTTAAACATAATTTTGTGTGTCTCATTGTGGACCAATAGAAAGTTAACATTAATAAAACATTAGAGCTGGGCGCTCCACACTTATAACCTTATGCCAGACTAAACACAATCACCGACGGCGAAAGGGAGCTCAGCGGATCTTCAGCACACCCCGCTTTTGATGAAACTAAAACCTAAACAGAACTATATTTGGTTCTCTTGACTTCACTCTATAACAGTAATAGTGTACTGGGCTGGATCAGTTGTCTAAAATCATTCTTCTTCTATGTGCCGTGTCTCTTCAAGACATGGGAAATCATGGCTCACTACTACAACGTCCTACCTTTTGTAACCCTTAGTAAAGTTTATATTTTTACTAGATCTCTTAATCCATGTTCTGCTAAACATTTACACGACCTCATTAGGCAGGTTATGCGCCGCTTTTCTTCGTCCCTTTTGCCTTCACTACGCCCTGTGAGTCTCAAATTTTCCAAGCCGTCTTTTCTTATTATGTATACTAGAAATTTCAACTGTCCCTTTCTGATGTTACTTATATGTGCATTTTGCTTCCATTTTCTATAAAACTTCGTCGTTACACACGTGTTCAGTCCATGATATCCTCAGCATCCTTCTGTAGAACCACATTTCTGTTACCTCAAGTCTTTCCTTCATCTGTGATGAGATCGTCCAACATTCACTGCCATACACTGATATTACATAATAGTTCAGTAATGTTTTCTTTGTTTCTAATTAAATTTTCCTGTTTCCTAATACTTTGCTTACCTTTTGGAAGGTATATTTCGTTATCATAATGCGCGTTCGAATTTCGGTATCGCACTTTCCGTTCTCTGTTAAAACACTTTCTAGATAATTAAAGTTTTGATTTGTTTAAGTTTGGTATCTCGAATCTGTAATTCGCGCGTTGGGCCGTTTCTTTTACGGACAGCTATACATTCTGTCTTCTTACAATTAGTCCTTTCTTCTCGCTGTCCTTTACTACCCTCTGTAGGAGTTCCTGTAGTTTCCTTTCTGTGTCTGCTCCCATAACTGGGTCATCTGCATATCCAATGTTGTTAAGATTGTGGTCACAAATAACACTGTTTAACACGATTCTTGTCCTGGGATAGCAACTGTTATTTCCTATTTGCTTACGCATAGAAAGTATGAGAAATGGCTAATATTTTCTCCAAACTTTGCTTTTGCGACCAGGATAATGATATTTCTGAACTTTACCTATTCTTATTGGGAAAACCGGAGCATGTGAACATTCTCATTCACGCAAAGTAGGGACAAAACGACATATGACTCAAAAGTAGCATTTATTTATTTTAGGATTACACGAGACGCCAAAACATTTAGAAGTTAGTAGTTTTTCACGATTTACGCTTTTACTGTAAATTACTTTCACGTATAAACCCCCAAATGTGGTTATCCATTTTGTTTTTGTTATGCAATTCTTTGTAGTGGCGTCCCATGCCCAGTTGGTCCTCCTCTGAGTACGTCCCAATGTTCTCCTTGAATTTATCAAGATGAGGTTCAAGGATATGAACTTTGAGCGACATCCTGTAACCCATTTTGCCGTAGTTCTTCGTCAGGGTCTCAGCAAGCTTCACATAGTTTTCGGCCTTGTGATTCCCTAGGAAACCCCAGACCACTGTGACAAGATTTTTCCACGCTGATTTCTCCATCTTCTTTATTTGTGTTCCGACGAAGACACCGGCTTTGAATTTTGCCGCAGACAGCTTAGGGTCGAAGTCTTGAAGATACTTGAAGGCTGCAGACTCCTTATATGAAAGCTGTGACAAATTGATTCATGAGGGTCGATTTTAAGTGCAGTGAGGGAAAATAATTTCCAGGGTCCAACAATGCCCCACATATGACATTTCTCTTCCCCACACTGAACTCGGTCCGCTTTGACCAGTCCCACTTGCGGTAATGTACTCTGCTGTCCCAAATGCAAAGACAATACGGAAACTTAGTAAAGCCGCCTTAGAGACATCAGGTAGGCTACTATTATCTCTATCAATAAAAGGCAGGATGTGTGTGTGTGTGCGTGTGTGTATGTGTAACGAATGCACGGCCGCAATTTTCGACGGATTTGCACCAAAATTTACATGCACATGCTCCAAGTTAGCGGGATGGCCAAGACCGACTTTACATTTCCCAACTCCCATCGATAGTGGAAATAATCGATTTTTTCATGCTTCTACGGCAGTTTTCATGTAGTTTGCGACCATTTTCTACTGGCCAGAGTGAGGGCCTATAACTGGCTGCCACGAATAGACAGGAAGATTCTATTGGCCAGCGTGAGAGCCAACAGCTGACTGACACGAATGTTAGCTAGCATGCTAGCATGCAAAAAAAAAAAATCGATAGCTGCATTCGTCACAAGTGGGAAAAATTTAAATCTGCATGGCACTTTACTCCAATTGGCTCATTCGCTTGCTTAAACTCAACGTTGATTTTAATTCCGCAGAACTGGTTTGGGTGTGAAAAAGTATTTGTTGTTAACATTCTTTTTTCATTCGGTTTTTCCAGTTAGGAGTCCTTTTTTAAAGCTGATCGAATTGTGTTCATTTTGTTTAGTTCTTTTTTTCATAACAGATTTAATGTTTAGTATAAAGCTTAGAAAAAATTCGCAGTGTGAGATAGGCAAGAAGTCAGGCATGTAGCAACATCGACACGGCAAAGGGCACTCCTTTAAAGGCAAGGAAGGGCAAAAATATTTTAAGTCAAGTGATAGCGATTGCTGTATGAGTCGTACGATTTTTTTAATAAATCACGGGCAACGTCGGGCCATGCTGCTAGTTCTTCATATTTCTAGGAATCTAGCAAGATCTTGACACTACTGTATTCCTCTGTGAGTTGTATCAAGTGAGTCATGGAAAGAGATGGATACATGTTCCTGTTATGACGAAGCACGGCTTTGAGGCTCGTGGATGAGCTGTCGATGAAAAGGCGCCAGTCGCTGGGGTAACAGGCAATTCCAACTACCTCAAGCAGACCGGTCAAATAATAACATGCAAAACCCATCTTGAAGGGTAAAAAAGCTTGAAAAACACTAGTAACGTTTTTTTGTTTTTTTTTACCTGCGTCTTCCACACTATCATCTAACAAATCCCATTGCTTGCGTCTTGACGTCAATAGCTCGACATTGTGAGACCAAGATCTTTGATCAGGTCTTTGAAGGTTTTTTTGGTTGGGGTAATATGGGTTTCTCTAATCAGTTCTGCCTTTGTAATCAATGACTTCATCCTCTTCTGAATTGCTCTTCTTATCTGAAGACGGCCGCTCTCTCTCTCTCTCTCTCTCTCTCTCTCTCTCTTTGGAGGAGTAGGTGCAGGGAACTCAGAACCGTGTGGCACTGAGGTGATGGATAACAGAAGATCTGGTATATATGATAGCAGTCGCATTCATGCCAGCTCGACGTTTGGAAAGGACCACCATACAGAAAAACAATTGCTTAAGGGGTCAGTTGGTTCCAACAAAATTCATGGGATTGCGAATTTCATGGCTCTATTTTCCCCCTCTGTATCATCCTGCAAAAGAGAAAAATAAATAGATTATAGAAATACAAATATATTTCATCCGGTGTTAGTAAAAAAAATTCTAAATTAATCAATTAATGCAGCAAATTCCACAAAAATACAGAATCTTGAATACTGAATATCCCTGATATTCGTATTTTTATGGCTTTTGCCAGGGATCTAGTATAAAAAAAATATCATACATGATACTGTGGACACTAATACGCAATTGTTGAAACATTTTTAATACATATTTTTCAATAACACTGGGTTATAAAAAAATAAAAGTAAAATAATATTTAAATTAAAATTCAAAAACTTTTACACTTACAAATCAAAATCTAAACAAGCAAAACTTACTATCTTACCAGGCCAGCCGAAATATCCCTTGTAAGCCTCACACGTGTTGTTACAAATTACATTTTCACTCTTGTCTTGATGAATTCGCCACTGACAGCAAAATACGTCTGCCGGACTCATACAACATCTTGATGCGATCTCTGACGAATGCATCTATCAACGACGATTTGTCTGCACTTGGACAACTAGAAGTAAACTGAACTGTTGAGATTACGTTCCTTGAATTTATGCTGCCATCTATGTAGCCAGAACATTATAGAAATTCTTGAAACTTTTGGAAACTTTTCGAAAGTTTTTGAAACTTCTAGAAAAGTCACTTTTAGCAACTCAACGCTGAATCTGTCTAGGATGTAATGGAAAATAAGTTAGTTTCAAAATATCGATGTTTAGATCACAAAAGCAAAGTTTAAAGAAAATAATAGTCGTTTTCTTTGCTTGTTATACAGAAGCAATTAGGAAATAAAACTTACTGACCAAGGACCAAAAACCTCAACATTTTATTACGCAATGTAATAAATCCTGATGGGACTTCTAATTCCCGCAAGATTATCAATATAATCATTAAGACTATTAATTTTTAAAATAAATCAGAAGATTTTATTATCTGTTGTTTTTTCTAATTATTAGATTCCAAAACTCTTATATAAGTCTTATATACGAAAAAATATCCTGTAGCCTTCATTCCAGAAAATAATAACAATACATTTTTAGAAAAGTGTAGTTAAAATCAAAACAGAAAAAAACAGAAGGATAATATATTTAAAACAAAATGTTCATTTTATGAGAGGATAAACACATTTAAAATCGGGAATCTTTAAAACTTAACCGGTTTAGCCTCCCCACCTCTCAGCTTTTAAATAAACAAATAAATAAAATAATAATAACGAATAAAAATAAATAATTTAATTTTCCCATGATGCAAATTATAAATAAACCGGAAAGTATTTCTGGTCACATGTGAGATTTTATGAGCCCTACTTCGGGAAAGGACAGAATCTTTCTTTCTCCTCTTGGTTTCAAGATGTAAATTACGTTCCCACTGAGGAATTTTAGTTTCCCTCGTCTACTGACGACTGAACTCTTTCCACTTTCCGGCGAGACTGTTCGGACATGTTTTCAACAGGCCTACTTATGAAATAGAGGTTCGGTGATCTCAGCTCAGCGCGAAGCTGACTTGAGCTCGACCATGTTTACTCGTTCGTAGCCTTACTTCCCATAAATCATTTCAAAACCAAAAAGGAAAGTGGACATATTCTAGAGCCATTTAACTTCGTTTCAATACAGTCAAAATAATTGTATCTTCTATCTTCTTTGTTTAAATATTGAACAGGGACCTTCACATAAAAATATTGTTTCAATGTGATATGATCCTAAGCCTGACCATTTGTAATACGCAATATCATAGATGAATCTATTAAAAGATACCCGAAAACTAATGATTACAAGTCTATATGGAAATTCGTTAGAAATTATTCTTTCTCTGTGGTGAACTTTTAACAAGATTGAAAACTTCTCAGTCATCCATACTGATCATTAACTATTTAACTGCAAGTAAAAAATACTGATTTCTTTCTCGTTGTAATTAGAATAACCGAGAGTATTATCTATCTAATAGTAGTGATAATATTATAGAAGTTTTATTTTAGAATTAATGGTGGCTATACGAACAAAGTTACTTTGCTAATTGAATCATTAAATGTTGATTTGTCGTTTATCTTATGAGCTAGAATGAATCAAAGCAACACAATAAAAGTAATTTTATATGTAAGTTCATAAAAATATAAAAAAGTGATGTCTTCATTACTGGAAATTAATTAAACAATACACGATATGAGTTGTCTCCCGTTCTTCGCTCTAATCGAAACCATCTTTTTCTTTTACGTTATTTTATTGTCGGCTGTTGAATAATCATCAAGAAGACAACGATGACACGCATGTGTTTACACATGCGCACAACGCAATTAATGCACGAACTGGAAGGAAACGCTTATATTTTTAGATAAACGTCTTTTTATTTATTTTTTAGGCATTTCCATTGATTACTTCATTGTTTCGAATTGCATTTTCTTTAATATTGAGAAACTGCACGAATATTAATCGGTGTATTCGAGTATAATTTGCATGAAGAAGCAAATGATATTGTTTACTGCGTCTGGTGACAAAACTCTCGGTTTTTCTGAGAGGCGAGTACACTTTCTACTTTAGTACTGGTTGCCGCCCACTTTGCTTATTCTTTTTCACCATCTATTTCATATCTCCCCCAACTTTATTTAGAGAACTTTTATCGAATTTAAACACTATTTGTACTCGTCTTGATCTATCGTTTTTATTGCATTCGACATTTATTTTACGCCTTTTTTCTTAAGTATGTCTTACACTTCATTTACTAAACTTCAGTGTCAAAACTTGGTGCATTTCAATATCGACTTGATTTAACATTCCAAAAACGGAGAAAGCGACTACAGGGCAAAACGAGTGGTTTTAAGCAATCACTATTCTATTTTTATATAAATATTGATTCTATTATTATTGAAATAAATAAAGTGCTTCCTCGAATATCCGTACCCAGATTTTCCGGACTTCGATTATCTGGGCGTGAAATGAAAAGAAAAATTGCAATCATACGAATATTTTTTAATTATCTGAAATAAACTCATTCCAATATTTCATCTCACACCAGCGTTTTCAGATTTTAGAAAACCATACTAGCAGAATGCTAATAAAATCAGTTCAATTAATTCTTGATAATTTCCCCATTGTTTTTTAAACAAAGAACATAAATTTGAATTATTACAGTTTGGTCATGCTAGTTTGACTTACGTAATTCTTTTTCATAGAAAATAAACTAGAAAAACTTGAACAAAAGCGTTTAAAATATTATTTGATTATATAAATGCTACATTTCTTTCCTAAAATGATTTTTTCATCATTCTTTCTTTTTCTATAATTTAGATATTATCCAAAATTTTGAATTATACCAACATAATATCTCTCTCTCTCTCTCTCTCTCACTCTCTCTCTCTCTCTCTCTCTCTCTCTCTCTCTCTCTCTCATATTTTCCTTCTGAACACTTGTCACTGTTCGATCTGGTTATATCATTAACGTGGTAACGTAACATTAGCCATTTTTAGTAAGTGGGAGACTAAACTAAGTCTGACAGGACAAAGAAGAAAGAACGTTATTAATTTGAGCACATCAGTCCAGAAAGTAGGAATATGGGATTGAGAGAGACAGGGTCACATCGAACCGGGGATGACATTATCATCCATGTTTTTTGGCTGTTCGTGTAAGTAAAAGAAAATAAAAATAAAGTCTCCCTCTCTCTATGTGTGTGTGTATAAGCAATAGTTTCGAAACTTTGAAGCGCCATGGTCTATTTCTCAAAATGAAATATTCAGGAGGGCCTCTGCTTATAGCATCTACTTCCGACAGAATAATTAATAAACTGCAATAATAAGCAAATATTGTACAATAATTACATTTCTTTATTGCTGTGTGAAAGATGATGATGTTTCTTTACCACATGCTTCGCAATATTAAGTTCAATATTTAACCCTCGAGTCAGTTTAACATTCTGTCGAGCGATCCGTAAGGAATCTCCGGCCATAGTGTGACCGATTCTTACCGGTGCAGTGTGACGCCGGACTTACTGTCGAGCTCAGTTTATTCTGATTTTAAATTCATATTATTAATTTAAATTTTCAAGTGTAAACATCCGACCATTCTCTGACAGACACTCGGAAGTCTGCGAACCACAGTTTTGAAATCTACGAAGGAGCCGGGCGCTGAAAAATTCTCGAACGAACTAACTCCCTAAAATCTGACCAAATAACAAAGCATATATTTATTTAACCCCTTCTTACCCCGGATAAGAATTCTTAACCACTTCTTCATAGAGTCAGCTCACATCCAAAGAAAAAGGAATGCTAGCTATTTGGTTGGAAAAGTTCTTGTTTCCAAATAAATTTAATGTTCTAAAAACTGCAAGAATTTTCTTTGCAGCTAGATACATTTATGTTCTTTTCAAGTAAAAGATGCAATGAAAAGGCATATTCTTCTGAAGCCATTGTTATTAAGGCCATTCTTCGTGTCTTATTCTTCTTTCAGTCGCCCACATAGTATTGATGATCATTCGTGGATGCCATGTGACTTCTGACATAAAAATGTACGGTCACTGCTATATTACACATTACAAACCATATATGGGTACCTTGGAGTGGGATAACCATTAGCGATCTGGTCTGGTTGATTTTTACTATATAGTAATGAGTTCGATCCTTACTGGCTGCTCTATACTTGTGGAGGGCTGTGCCAAAAACTAATCTATGATTAGTATTTAGGGTACCTCGCTTGGGGCAAAAGTTATCGATATAGTCTTTTTGAACATTATTACTGAGTAGTAAGTTTGATTCTTACTTGGTACCTCATAGCGGTGACTTTATGCCAAAACTAAGCCAACATTGGTAAATAATGTTCAACCTATATTTAGTTGAAATAAAAACTTATTTGCATCCAAGTTCCTGAAAAAAGAGTCTCGGGAGAAAAGGAATTTGTTCCCTAATAATCGGGAGAAAAGGAATTTATTCCCTAATAATCGAGAGAAAAGGAATTTGTTCCCTAATAATCGGGAGAAAAGGAATTTATTCCCTAATAATCGAGAGAAAAATTTATTCCTAATAAAGGAAAAATTTATTCCTAATAATCGAGAGAAATGGAATTTATTCCCTAATAATCGGGAGAAAAGGAATTTGTTCCCTAATAATCGGGAGAAAAGGAATTTATTCCCTAATAATCGAGAGAAAAGGAATTTATTCCCTAATAATCGAGAGAAATGGAATTTATTCCCTAATAATCGAGAGAAATGGAATTTATTCCCTAATAATCGGGAGAAAAGGAATTTATTCCCTAATAATCGGGGGAAAGGGAATTTATTCCCTAATAATTGGGAGAAAAGGAATTTATTCCCTAATAATTGGGAGAAAAGGAATTTATTCCCTAATAATCGGGAGAAAAGGAATTTTTTTCCAAATAATTATGAATATTATAGGATATATTCATATTAAAGTTTCACCTGAAGTAGATATTGTTTTCATAATTATAATATATTTTTGATATTTTTGACAAACCAACAAAAGCCTTCACCTAGTTTTAAATAATTGGAAGAAGTTTTAGAATATTTGTTCTTTCTTTCTCTCTTTTTATGTGTCATGTCCTTTCAGGACGCAGGCGATCATGGCTCTACACCTCCCCTCTATCTCTTGCAGCTATCAACAAGTTCCTTCCCTCTGCTTCCTCCCCTAGACCACGTTCTGTCATCCACTTGCTTAAACCTGCCAAATATGTCACGCGTTGTTTTCCCTAGTCTCTCTTTCCCTCTATTCGACCTGTGAGTATCAGATTCTCCAGGCTCTCCTTCCTCATTATGTCTCAGAAACTTCAGCTACCTCTTCCTCATATTAAGTATAAGCCTCCTCCTTGTTTGCAACCTGTCTAAAACCTCATCGTTGCTCACACGCTCGGTCGATGATAACCTTAGCATCCTTCTGTAGAACCACATCCTTGTCGCCTCGAGTCTCTTCTTCATCTTTGAGGAAATCGTCCAACATTCGCTGCCGTAAAGAAGGGCTGATGTCACGTAACAGTTCAGTATTTTTTTCTTTGTTACCAAAGATATCCTCCTGTCTCGCAGTACTCTGCCCAACATTTGGAATGTGTCCTTGGCCATCCCAATACGTCTACGGATCTCAGTGTCGCACTTGCCGTCTTCTGTGAAGACGCTTCCCAGTATTTAAACTTCCGCGTCTGCTTGACTCTAGTGTTCCCGTAGTAAAAAAAAAATTGTAAAAAAATAAAGAATAAAAACACTCAGATTAAATATATCGTATTTTGAAATGCGATATGCGATGTGTCTTCATTGGCCTGTGAATTGACGAATGAGCAACTAACTAGAAGGTTAGATTTCCTTGTAAAAAAAAGGAGTTTCTCTCTCAAAAAATTCTTCAGTAAAATTTTCGTCGCGTAGGGTATGTCTTCAGTACAATGCTAGGGCAGTTCTGCTTGCTCTCTAAACCCTCTCTGGACCTGACAAATAATCGGCAAAATTTCTCCTTCTGGGGACAATAAAAGTAGTCAATGCAGACCATATACGTTGTGCTAGTTACAAGAAAACACTTCTCTTGATGAAAAGATTGCTGATTTGACTAAATGTATTGGTCTGAAGACGGCTGTGGATATTAACACAGCGGCACAACCGAGACACCTACTACGATACAATGACCGTAGTTGCAAATCCACATGTGATGTTTTGACAATGTCACACTAATAGCAAGATCCCCGACAGAATTAAGGTCGGGAGAATTTCTTAGCCACCAACCAAACCTGTCTTTTCGGAAGTGAATTCTTCCGAAAATATACGCTGTTTCAAACGTGAAATGTTTCTTCACCAATCAGCTATCAAACTTTAAAAAACTCGAAGCAAATGTTTATGATTGTGTGCAGCTTGGATTGAAGACATCAAAACAATCTGAAAATACCACGCGTACGATTATCTTATCAATAGCGCTGGATAAGACTCAGCATGTCGGAATTCCAAAGAATGCATAGACAATGATCATCGAAGCCATGCTTGTCGATCGACAACTATTTTGGGTTTTGTACCTGAGAAACAACTCCAGCAACGTACTTTCTTCGCTGGATGAGAGTTTTGTGGTGCCCTCCTTCTAAAGAGTCTATGTTGGACTCTTCTGACTACTATAAGATTAGTAGGAGAGAAGGCCTTGGGGGAACACACGAATAGATTGAACGCTGGATCAACCGACACACACTTACTAGTCGTGTAATACTCTACCGTTGTACTTAGTGTTTAATATATGGTATATCTGCAACACTTGTTTTGTTATTTCTTTAACCATTTAGTTGATCACAACAGAGAGTCAAGCGAAAAAGCTGCCTGTGATAAGTACAAGTGAGATAGGGACTAGATCAGCTCTAGTAACATCTTCCCTAGCCATTTACATATGTTAGCTGGCGATCGGGGCATTTGGAGATATCTCTGCAGGGACGTTGTTCAACCAGCAAAAGCAAAATTAGTCCGGTCGGCGGTAGAATGTCGTCGATGACGTCAACCGCAGAATCCTTTATTGCTATCCAAAGTCTTCTGACCGTTGAATTCCATCGTATAGTATCAATGCCCCTTTCAGTTGCCAAAACAAAATGCTTGCATTTGAAGATTTATATTTCTGAGATGAGGTATTGTAACTATTTACAATATTCACATTGTTCGGACTGTCGTCCTCATCTTTGTTGCCATATTCACGTGGTTTCACCTTCTTCAGGATTGGAATTTCGAATCGAACTCTTTATTTCTTCCAGCTGCAGTTTTGTGTTCATCTTTCCTGTGGCCAAGTATTGAAATCAAAACACTTTGGATTACTTAAACCAACGCTTTTATTAACTGGGCCACGTGTCCTTGAGGACATCAGTGTATGGATTTTGCGGACTTATAAACCTGGTATTTCAGTACACATTCTTTTACCAGAGCTCATATTACAATTTGTTGTTATTATTGTTTTTCTCTATCAGTCCGTATTACTTGTTCCCATACTGTGTTCGTGTCCGAACAATTTAAATAGTGTAAATATGAATACTGTGCGTTGGAGTTGTATGTATAGTATCTGTGACATTCATAAGACAAATACATTCAGAAGATTAAAGCTTTAATTTTCCATTGGTTGGGATTTAAAATACCTCTTGGTTTTGGGATATAGAGTGTGCTTTTTTTTATTATTGCTATTTTGATTTTTAAATATGTCTTTGATAACCTGCCATATCTTTTTATTTAATGATCCTGTTGGTTATAAATGAGTAGGTTTTCATTCTTTAAAAAGTGTCAAGAAATACGCAAAATAATATTTGAAATTATTTTAATTATACAAAGAATTACCTATACATATAGCGTTGTTATGTCAGTAGCTCTTTCCTATATTCTTGATCATTTACAACCATTTTTCTCGTTTTTCAATGTATTTCTATATAGTGAAATTATTTTCAATTCATTTCTATTGTAAAATTTAC